AGGCATTAGATCGGAGCCAGAATTGCATCACAATATTACTTTATGCTGACGAGGTCACTCCAGGGAACGCCCTTGCGGAGCACAATGCCCGCAAGGTGCAGACCGTCTACTGGAGCATGGCAGAGCTGGGGTTTCCTGCGTTGTCCGCGGAGGCCGCGTGGAACACCATAGCGGCCCTCCAATCGACAAGCGTCGACGAGATGGACGGCAACATGTCCCAGGTGTTCCGTCATGTGCTTCGCCAGTTTTTTGGCCGTGCTGACGGCAAGCCAGACTTGAGGGATGGCGTGTCCATCTTGATATGCGGGGAGGCTGTGCCGCGATTGGTGTTCGGACGCTTGGGCATCATCGTGCAAGATGAGCGCGCGTTCAAGTCGTCAATGAACGTGAAGGGTGCCACCGCGCACAAGTTGTGCGCCATGTGTGCAAACGTGGTTGGCCACAGGTCGAAGCTACTCCCCGACCCCACCAATTTCATCGTCTCGGCGGCCGAGGTTGACGTTTCAAAGTTCAGGCCGAACACCGCCAGCACCGTGCGTGGCATTCAGCGCAAGCTTCGAGAGTTATGGATGACGGCCGTGGCCAATGGTAACAATCGCGAGCTGGAGACTTACGAGACCCTGATGGGCTTCAAGTTCGCGGAGTCCAACTGGCTCCAGGATGAGAGCCTCGTAGACGACATCGACGTTACGGGGGTCTGGTGTTGGGACTGGATGCATTGTTACATGATCAATGGTGTTTACACGAAAGAAGTGACAGAATTGTTTGTTCGTTTAACACGTGTTAGACTAGACAGTGCCGTGTTTGATTCGTACCTTCAGGGGTGGCAGTGGCCTTTGGCATACCCCGATGCCAAGAAGTTGTGTTCCGATGGTAAGCCCTCAGGCAACGCCTCTGTTTTCTTATCGTCCGCATCGGTGCTCGAGAAGTGGTTGCGGGAGGTGGCACTCCCAACCGTCGGCGACAACAGTGCTGAGGTCATGAGCGGCATTTCCTTATGCGTCGTGGTGCAATTGTTGACCATAGTGAATTCTGGCTTGGTACGCGCAGGCCAGCTTGCAACAGCCATTGGGCGACACCTATCGCTGCACAAGGCAGCTTATGGCCTCGACCTCTGGCTCCCCAAGACGCATTTTACAATACATCTTCCAGACATTCTTCGGAGACATAAGTGCCTGTTATCAACGTTTGTCCAGGAACGCAAACACCGACACGTGAAGGTCACGGCAGAAGGCAGACACACCACCGTTTCTTACAACAGGGGGCTCATGGAAGAAATCACGTTGGCCCATCTCTACCAGTTGAAGGACCCCTTGACCAAACCGACCCTGCTGAACCCAAAGGCCGCGACAAAAAAGGTCCGAGCCACCCTCGCAAGCACGTCCAATGACATTCACAATGGAATCGAGGTGTTCACGTCTAGGGATGCGCACGTGCACTGCCGTGTTGTTCACGTAGGGGACGTGGTTGCATTTCGCAGCGACAACGTCGTTGAGTTCGGGCCTGTGCTGTTTCATGCGAGTATTGGTGGTGAGCTTTCGACCTGCATACATAGATGGCAGGTTGTGGAATCGCAGCCCACTTGGGCGAAGTGCGTTGTGTCGCAGAACAACATTTGCTTGGTTGACACGCAGAGCCTCATCGAGCCCTGCGTTTTTTGGCCGAGCCCCCAGGGCTCGATCAGCCATGTGCTGTTGCCTCCGAGGCTGAAGCTCGGGGCGTTGCTCTGAGCCAATTCCTGTTCCTCATCTTGCTCCCTTCTCATCGTGATACCCCTCATTCTCTCCTCACCCCTCCTGCTTTTCTCACCCTCTTGCTTTCCTCATCTCCTCCAGCTGTTCTTTCACCTCGACCTCCTCCGCTGCTACTGCTTGCTCTTCCTCCTCGACCTGCGCGACCTCCTCGACCTCGACCTTCCCCTTGTGCTGCTGCTGCTTTTCCCTCTCGAACTGTTCCTCCTCTGAGTTCCGCCCCCCCTTCTCTCATATCCCCCCACTCCTCCTCCTTATTCTCCTCGTCCTTCTGCTCCTCCTCCTCCTCCTCCTCATCATCATCATTATCCTTCTTCCCTTCCTCCTCCTCCTCCTCCTCCTCCTCCTCCTCCTCCTCCTCCTCCTCCTCTCCTCCTCCTCCTCCTCCGTCCTCGTCCTCGTCCTCGTCCTCGTCCTCGTCCTCCTCCTCCTCCTCCTCCTCCTCCTCCTCCACTGCTTCATCCTCCTCATCCTCCTGCTCCTCCTCCTCCCCCTCCTCCCCCTCGCACCTCCTCCTCCTCCTCCTCCTCCTCCTCCTCCTCCTCCTGCTCCTCTTCCATTCCTTGAGTTTTCATGTTTATGTTACTGTTTGCTCCCGTGTGGCAAGCTGTGGGCCAGGGTCCTCTTTGCCATAGCTGGGTATGTTCCTTGCGAGTGCATTTGGCAACCCAGTCGCCTCTTCACTACTGTTGGGGCACGACGATGAGGAAAGAGGAGGAGGAGGAGCGAGAGGGGCAGAAGGAGGAGGAACAGGGGCAGGATGAGGAGGAGAGGGATGATGAGGAGGAGGAGGTGGAGAGAGCATGCACTGCGCCCTCAATTTCCTTTTCCCCATCCGACGCTGGCCGCCTTGAGATGCGTCGGATTTTCAAAGGCGCATGACGCCGTCGAGCCTGAAGCACAGTGACTGTCTGAGAAAATGCCACATCGTACAATGCTCGGCCCCAAGGTTTTTGGTTTTCAAAAGCTTGTCGATTTTCCAGAAGCCCACCAATATAGTTCCTATGTGGGGGGAATTTGCTGCAAAATCCGCAGCGTGAGGCCCAAGCAAAGGCCCCTGCAGGTCACAACGATCCAGGATAGCAGAGTCGCGAATCGGGTTCGCCGAACCCTGCTAAGTGGGTTAGCGCCCCTACCCTAAAGTGGTTAGCATCCCAGGTTGTAGTTAATGTGCTAAGACGTTTTGTAAAGGGCTTCGCTTATGTTGCCGAACCTCTAACAACTGGATACATCCACGCAATCCACTAAGCAAGCGCAGCGGTGCTCCAAGCGAGGTCAGTCCGGGGTCAGTCCGGGGTCAGTCCGGGGTCAGTCCGGGGTCAGTCCGGGGTCAGTCAGTCCGGGGTCAGTCCGGGGTCAGTCCGGAGTCAGTCCGGGGTCAGTCCGGGGTCAGTCCGGGGTCAGTCCAGGGGTCAGTCCGGGGTCAGTCCGGGGTCAGTCCGGGGTCAGTCCGGGGTCAGTCCGGGGTCAGTCCGGGGTCAGTCCGGGGTCAGTGTCAGTCCGGGGTCAGTCCGGGGTCAGTCGGTCCGGGGGTCAGTCCGGGGTCAGTCCGGGGTCGGTCGGGGTCCGGGGTCAGTCCGGGGTCAGTCCGGGGGTCAGTCCGGGGTCGGTCCGGGGTCGGTCCGGGGTCAGTCCGGGGTCAGTCCGGGGTCAGTCCGGGGTCGGTCCGGGGTCGGTCCAGGGGTCAGTCCGGGGTCAGTCCGGGGTCAGTCCGGGGTCAGTCCGGGGTCAGTCCGGGGTCAGTCCGGGGTCAGTCCGGGGTCAGGTCCGGGGTCAGTCCGGGGTCAGTCCGGGGTCAGTCCGGGGTCAGTTCCAGGTCAGTCCGGGGTCAGGCCGGGGTCAGTCGGGGTCAGTCCCGGGTCAGTCCGGGGTCGGTCCGGGGTCGGTCCGGGGTCGGTCCGGGGTCGGTCCGGGGTCGGTCCGGGGTCGGTCCGGGGTCGGTCCGGGGTCAGTCCGGGGTCAGTCCGGGGTCAGTCCGGGGTCAGTCTGGGGTCAGTCCGGGGTCAGTCCGGGGTCAGTCCGGGGTCAGTCCGGGGTCAGTCCGGGGTCCGTATGGGCCGGGGTCAGTCCGGGGTTGGTCCAGGGTCGGATCCGGGGTTTGCCTGAGGTCTGTCCAGGGTCTGTCCGGGGTCAGTCTGGGGCCAGCCTGGGTCAGTCCCGGAGTGACCTGCAGGATTGACCGTGCAGACCGACCCTTGAATGACCCGTGTGTATATGGAGCCTGGTCGGATCGAATTCGACGCAGCCGAGCCGACCGCCACATTAGGTGCACGCGTATGTGGGAGCGCCCGAATGGCAAGGAGAGCGGAGAGTATTCTAATGCATGGGAAATGAAAATGCAAGCGGGCCGATCTAGTTTTCGGAATTGCAGAAGTCGGGGACCGAAACTTCCGATCTAGTTTAGGCGAGACCTAATTTCACCGATTCTATTTTTAACGAGCGGAGTGTAGTCAAAAGTACTCTGGGGACGATTTTCGGAGTATGTTTTGTGGATCATGTTGGGGTATGTGTTTCATTTTTTCCATTCTTCGCTGAAGAACTCTTCTGTGGGGGGATCTGCTCGACCTAATAGAAGCGCCACAGCAGCCTCGTGGCACGCCGGCGGAGGACGTGGAGGCGGAGGCGGACGGGGGGGGGAGGGCGAAGGCGGGGGAGGGCGAAGGCGGGAGCGCCGGCGCGGCGCCGCGGATTCGCAGATTTCAGGACCCTGAGAGTACAGTGCCGTTTTGAATACATGCTCCGCGTGCGGATCGTGTATTCAAAATGCAGGGATTCAGCATTCAAAAACAACGATGAGCTCATGCGTAAAATTATGCATAAATTGATCATGTATTAAAATCTTATACTTTCTAAAAATCCCATGTATTAAGAACTGTCCTGTGGCAGTAACAAGAACAGGAGGGCGTGGAAAACCCGAGCCAGCGGGTCGGGGCTGCATCGCGCAGTAGCAGCGTCAGAGATCCAACGCTCCGACGAAAGTTGGAGCGGCCCGTTTGGGGCTGTTTCCGGCCTCCGGGGGCCCTCGCCGGGCCTCGGGGCCGTCGGAAAGCAAGCAAGGGCGAAAAACTAGCCGTGGAGACATGTTCCGGACCTCCAGGGCCCACGAATCGAAGAAATGGGAGCAGCTGGATGTCTGGGGAGTCTGGCGCGGCAGCAGCAGCACCGGTGGCAGAGCAGTGGTGGCGCAGCAGCAGCGGACCAGCGCATCCGCTTCGCGCACATCACCTCCCCGCCCCCTCCCGCCAAGAGGTCGTCGTCCGCGACCTGAAGTACAAGCCGAAGGACACGGCGCAGATGCGCGGGCTCGCCTCGCTGGTCTGGGAGCCGCAGGACCTGTGGGAGGCCTTCGTGGAAGGCCGGGGGAGGGGTCTTATCCTCCTCCTCCTCCTCCTCCTCCTCCTCCCTCCTTTTCTTGGAAGCCGCCGCGGGGCCGTCTTCGAAGAAGCCCCCCCGCCTCATGAGAAGCCCGCCCCCCTATGGTTTTACCTCCCCTGTGGGCGCCGCCAGGACTACGCCACGCTGGAGCGGCCCAATCTGTGCCACGTCTGGGACCAGGCCCCCGTCACCGGGGACACGGCCTGCAGCGCCTGGGCGTGTGACGCTGCGGCGGGCAGTCCGGGGGTATCCGTGCACCCAGGACGCTGAATTTGGGACCACGTTCGGCTCAAAGAGGGGCTCTGGTCTTTGGGCTGTTCCTTAGATCTAGGTTATGGATCCCATTCGTGGCCGAGGCTCGCCTTGGCCAAACAAAACTCGTTGTTTCTTTTCTGGCGTTTCTGTAGCCCTGTCGGGGGCTCCAGCGCTACGGCGCTTCAGATGGGGATGATACGGTCTGTCCCTTTTTCTTAGCATGTCACGCCGCGGTTCTGACCCACCACGTCCCAGTCTCCAAGCTTCAATGTCCTGAGCTTACTGCAAGAGTAACCAAGTATTTGCAATGGGTTGTGGCTCACGAGTAGATACGTCTTAGTCCACTGATGCTCAGACAGGAGGAGGAGGGAGGAGGAGGAGGAGGAGAGGAGGAGAGGAGGAGGAGGAGAGGGTAGGAGGAGGAGGAGAGGAGAGAGAGGGAGGAGAGGAGAGGAGAAGAGGAGGAGGAGGAGGAGGAGGAGGAGGAGGAGCAGGAGGAGGAGGAGAGGAGATGAGAGGAGGAGGAGGAGAGGAGGAGGAGGGGAGGGGAGGAGGAGAGGGGAGGGGGAGGGGTGAGGGGGGGGGAGGGGGAGGGGTGAAGAGGGGGAGGGGGAGGGGGAGGGGGAGGAGGAGGAGGAGGAGGAGAAGGAGGAGGAGGAGGGAGGGAGGGAGGGAGGGAGGGATGGGGCAATCAGGAGGTAAAATGTTCCAGGAGACCGGGAAGGCGAAGCAAGGCAACTCTGGGAACGCGGAGTGCTGTTCTCATAAGACTTCTCATGAGTAGTTGGGGTTCAAGGCGTCGTGACATCAAGGCTCTTTGGCTCTGTCTCTGGCCTCTCTCTCTCTCCCTCTCTCTCTCTCTCTCTGGCTTTTCCAAAGGGAGAATCTGGAACGAAGGACAGCCAACTACCGAACGCCAGGGCACGCACAGGAGAACGGACAGGAGCGCAACGGTATCAGAAACGCCCAGGAAAATGCGCAGAGGCATCGGGAACGCACAGGAGAGCACCAGGCCAGTGCTCCTGTTGTCCGGTCCAGCCTAGACCAGGAGCTGCCCCTGAACTGGCCGTCTGGCATAGGCTGGGGGCAAGAGAAGGGCGCCGCACACATCGCCACGGGCATAGACCCACTGCCCGGTCAGAATTGGGCAAAGCTGTGGGCCGACGCCATGGTAAACACCACGCTGCCCGACGGCACGCTCTGCGAGATCTGGGAGCTTGACGGCTTCTTCCAGGACCAGTGGTTTTTCATGGAGCACATGGACGTTGTGAGAGAGGCCTTCTGGCACCAGCCCACTGCCGACCAGGCCGCAGAGAACCTCAAGTGGCTGATGTACAATGAGAGGGTGGCGTTGGGGGGGGGCCAAAGCCGGATGTCTAGAAGACCAGCCTGCGCGGCCTGGCAAGCCCCTTCGGCCCTCACGACGACGACGACGACGACGACGACGACGACCACATGCATGGACAGCTTGGGCGAGCCTTGGATTGGCCACGCGTCTCTGCGGCGGTCGGCCCCTTTTTGTTGCCGGGCCTTCGATGGCCCCTTCGTCGCGTGCGTCCCACACGTGGCCTTCGAGTGTTTCGCGCGTGGATCCTGCAGGATCTCACAAAAAGGCAGCGTCAAAAAACGACTCCAGATGATGACCATACGCAGTTTGTTCGGTCGTATATGGCCGTGGACCCCGGCTTCTCACCCAGCGTCGTTGTTCCACGGTCCACAGGTCCAGCTCCCTGGGAATGATCAAGCTGGCATCGTATTTCGGCTGACCCATCCCTGCCTTCGGCCCTCGTCCCGGCTCCCTGGGAATGATCAAGCTGGCATCGTATTTCGGTTGACCCATCCATGCCTTCGGCCCTCGTCCCGGCTCCCTGGGAATGATCAAGCTGGCATCGCATTTCGGTTGGCCCATCCCTGGCCTTCGGCCCTCGTCTTCCGCTCCCCTGGCTCGCTTCCGCCCGCGGGGGTGGGGCTGGTGACTCCCCGCCAGGGGCCCTACGTTGGCATCCACATTCGCCTGGGGGACTACAAGTACACCAATCGCAACATGCCCATCACGTACTACAAGGACGCCTTGGATGCGGTGAAGGCGAGGAACCAAAACTCTTCCTTGACCTGCCTGATCCTGTCGGACGACATCCCGGAGGCCATGGAGGTCACGGCGGCCCTCGAGCAGTGTGGCAGGCGGGTGCCGGTGCCACCAGACCTGGGCGAGGCGAACAGTTTCTACATGCTGGGGCTGATGCCCAACATCATCATCGCTGACTCTAGCTTCTCCTTCTGGGCCGCCCGTCTCGCGCCGCACAAGCCTTTTGTGGTCGCGCCGGGCATCAGCAAGGAGAGGTCCGAGGCGCAGTCTGCGTACGAGTACTTGCTGCACACCCCCGGCTGGCACATCGTGAACACCACCACCGACATGCTCGACATTTACAAGACGAATGCCACCGTTATGCTGGCTCTGGATCGGCCGATTGCAAAACCAGGGTCAGAGTCTGAGCTGCTTCGGAAGGCCAGACACCTGATTGTACCCTTCGCTTCACATCTCAAGATGCAGGGAGCTGGGGGAGGTGAGGTGAGGTTGCCTACTCAAAGACGAGGAGGACCACGACTTCCGCGGATCGGTTTGTTGTGAGAGCCTTGATTGGAGGATGATTGGGGCTTTCTTAGGGTCTTCTTTGGGCCCTTTTTTCGGGCCCTCTCGGGACTGCATCGGGGTCCTGTTGGAGCTGTTTTGGAGATCCTTGGGGAGGTCTCGGGGCCTCTTCGGGGCGGTCTTGGGCCCGATTGCTCCACAAAAGGGGGGGGGCTCCAATTACCTCCCCCCCACCCCCCTCGCCGAAGCCGGCATATTGCATCTTGGGAGCCTCTCGTGAGCCTCTCCGCATCGCCTCGGGATCTTGGGGTTCTCGTGGCTCCTGTGGTCCTGGGGCGTCCTGCAGGTGTGCCAGAGGCTATCTTGAACCCTCTTCCGCTGCCTCGAGCCATCCCGGCGGGCACCTTGGGGCCCTGCGTGCCATCATTGGGCCGTCCTGGGCCCAGAGGAGCCGTCTGACACCTCGCGCGCCCCCCCGCCCTTCCCCCCCAAAACAAAGCAGGGGAGAGGGTAGGGAGATGGGTCACATTAGCCCAGGCCGCAGGCCGCGTCGCTCAATCCCACCCGCCCTCCAACTACACAATTAGCACCCGAGTCTCAGCGCAGGCAGGGGCTGCCATCGACAACTATCGGGAACCCACGCAGACGCCAGCCATGTGCGCGATGCCCGCGCGAAGTGCGCCGCACGTGCCAGGTGCGCCACGCGCACCAGACGCGCCACATTGTTCCATATGTCGACCGCCCCACCATGCCTGTCAAAATCCTATACGGAGTGATGGTGTGGGTGTGGGTGGGTGTGAACCCGCACTCACTTGGCGCTTGTTTATGACAGGGATAGTAGGACTGCAAGCAGCAGGCATTATGCCGGCCCTCCCCCCCGTCCCTAGCAAAGCAATCTTTGCACTTTCTTGAGAAAAGGATGGTGGCTCTGCGCATACCAGGTAGCATGGCTCCACCCCTGCCGCCCCTGTCAAAAGCAAATGCAAAGTGATCGCGGGGCGACCGCGCATGATCCAGATTTTTGTGCACAATGCACTTCGTTTTGTCTTATCTCAGGAGTGGTTGGGTGGTGTTTGCACTGCGCACAGTAGCCAATATGCCGGCTCCCTCTCAACGTCACTGCCAAACGGAAATGCAAAGTGGTCGCGGGGCGTCCGCGAATGATCTAGATTTTAGTTCAGAGTGCATTTGCTACGGTTGTTCGCAATGGATGGCAGGGGGGTGCTGGAATCGCACACAGCGGGAAACATGTTGGCCCCCACCATCGCTGTCGAAAACCAACGCGGAATCGCGTCAGAGTGGCCAGCATGATGTCTGGTGGGCCTGCACACAGCAGGCAATCTACCAGCCCCCCGCTGCCCCTGTCAAGAACATGTGCGAAATGATCGCGGGATACCCGCGCATCGTACAGATTCAGCATCGAAGTGTAGCTTGCATTCTTTGCTGACAGGGGTGGTTGTCCTGCGCACAGTTAGCAATATGCCAGGCTCCCCCGCCGTCCCAGTCAACAAAACCATACGACGTATTCGCGGGGCGTTTGCGCATGTTACAGATGTGGAGGCAAAACGCTATTTATTTGATTCGGTTGTGTTATATGTTACGTGGGCGGCTGGCCTCATTGCAGCAAGCAATATGCCGGCCCCCCCGGCGCCCATTTCAACAACCAATGCAAAGTGGTTGCGGGACGCCCGAGGATGCTCCAGATTGTATGCAGATTGATTGCGTTTTGACAGGGCCGGGGGCGGGGGCGCGGGCTCATGGGTCCGGGTGGACTGCCGGCGGCAGTTTGGGGAGGCGGTGTTGATTCATAGGTAGGAGTGGTCATACTACCCACACGCCGCATGCCGTCTCCCTCACACCCCTCCGCCTTCTCAGCAGGTACAGTGGGGGCGCGGATCAAGACACCATTTTTTTTTCATGCTTTCCTGGGTTTCTTCTCTCCGCGCGCCGCGCGGTGGCTTCCCGCAGCTGGGGAAGGAGCGGCTGCGTTCAGGGTGCTCCGGGTTTCCTCTCAAGTGCACTTCGCGCGCGGGTTTTCAGGGTTGTGTTTCTCGCGAGGGCTTCTTGCGGCCGCGCCCGTATTGTGAGTAGCACCCGAGCCTTAGCATATCCAGCGGTTGCAAGGTGGGTGGGCAGCTGCTGGGAACCAAGACAGGCGCGAGGTGCGGGGCGCTGGCGAGGAGCGCCACGCGTGCCACGGGCGCCACGCGGCGCACCAGGTGCGCCAGGCACCCCTTGGGCCCAGGCGTGCCAGGCGCGCCTCGTGCGCAAGATATGTCGCATGCTCCGCATTCCGGCGATCGCAAACATGAATGAAGGGGGCGTGGATGAGCGTTAATTCGGGCTTGTCCCTCTGCAGGGGAGGGGGAATATCCAAGAATAGTAAAACATAGTCTGGGAATTACTTTTTGAAGACTTGTTTGACCATGTCGGAGTATTTCTTGAGTACTGTTATTCCCTACCTAGGCTCTGCCCAGAAGGGTTCTTACTCGCTTGGCTTAAAGGGGCCGGACAGTGCAAACCGCCCCGGGCGGTGCCCCCAGTCCCCTGGGAGCCAAGCAAAAGCAACAGCAAAGGTAAAAGCAAACGCGCGGTTCCCCCAGTTGCGCTCCCTGGGTGCCAAGCAAAAGCACAAGCAAAGGCAACAGCGAAGGTAAAGCAAACTGACAGCATAGCATAGCATAGCATAGCATAGCATAGCGCAGCATATCATAGCGCAGCATAGCATAGCATAGCATAGCATAGCCTAGCCTAGCCTACCCCAGCATAGCATTGCGCAGCATAGCATAGCATAGCATAGCAGAGCAGAGCAGAGCAGAGCAGAGCATAGCATAGCATAGCATAGCGCATCACACCATCCACTATTGCTACTGCTACAATTACGACGATGAGGAGAAGGAGGAGGGCGGCGTTTACCGGTCCTACTAATGTTGCTTTCCTAGAGGCTCCAACTCCTAGGTAGGGTCGCACTGGGATAATTGTTTCGTCGAAATTCCCCCTGTAGGGGGACACGCCCGACCTAAGATTAGCGACGGGTCTCGTTTCCATGGGAAATCGCGGATTTCTGCCGCCGAGGGAGGCGGCACCGGCCGCATTCTGGGGAGGGCACCTCCCCCGAACCACTGATCTGGCGACCGCGTGCCAGATCCGTGGATCGCCAATGCACGCTTGCGCGCCCCCGAAACATGTGCCCCGTGTGCCACGCGTTCACGCCGCGCCAGGTGCGCCACATGCGCCACGTGCCCCAGGGTGCGCGCGCGTGCGTGCGTGCGTGCGTGCGTGCGTGCGTGCTTGCGCGAGTGCGTGTGTCTGTGTGTGTATGTGTGTGTGTGTGTGCGTGTGTGTGTGTGTGTGTGCGTGTGTGTGTGTGTGCATGTGTGTGTGTGTGTGTGCCAAGGTGCGCCGGGGCGCGTCGCAGCACGTGTCCGGAGACGCGGCGGCACCCTGTCAACAAAAACCAGGGCGACGTGGCCTCGGGGTGGCCATCGTCGACGCGCAAGGGAGTTCCCACTGGCCACTGACAAGGACTGGGCCCTCGGAAGGGTCTTGTGTCCTCTCGCGTGTCCTCTCCAATCAAATCAAGTCCTCTCCAATCAAGTCCGACTGGGCCTCGCGTGTCCTGCCCCTCCCCCTCCTCCCCCTCCTCCTCCTCCTCCTCTTCCTCCTCCTCCTCTCCCTCACCGTCCTCCTCCTCCTCCTCCTCCTCCCCCTCCTCCTCCTCCTCCTCCTCCTCCTCCTCCTCCTCCTCCTCTGACAAGGGCTGGGCCTGCGCACGTCGGGCCATACAGGCGGCCCGGATTGATAGGCCGACCCCGCCAGATCGGGGGGTGCCCTCGTGCCCTGTGTCTTGGCGGCCCGTGCCCTTCCGCACTTCTGCGGCCACGGGGCCCTCGGCAGGGTCTCGTGTCCTCCCGCACGTCCTCTCCAAGCAGGTCCGGCCGTGTGCAGCCCCTCCCCCCGCAGCCCCTGCGAGACGCAATCCAGAGTGATCGCGTGGGGAGCCCGCGCAGGGGCCAGTCAATTGCCGCACAGCGAACGTGGTTTGGTTTTTCGTTGACAGGGGCGAGAGGGAGGGTGGGCGGGATGGTTTCGGCGGGTCGGCGGTCGATCGAGTTGGGGAGGCGGTGCTGGCTACGCTACTACAGAGCAGCGGCGCACCCCTCCCCGAATAGGGGCAGAATGGGTTCTGAAAGAGGGAAGAAGCCATTCGTCACACCACCTGCGCCCGGAGGGCTGGTGGCTGGTGGGATGGTGTCAGACGTTCACCATCGTCAGTTTGCCTCTAGCCCTTGCCTCAGCCACCAGGAGCAGCGCGTCTATCCTGATGCAGCTGCCGCGGCGACGGCGCGGTCTTCGTACATGGCAAGTGAGTGGGCGTACTAGATTCGACAGCTCCTTCTCGGGTGTCCCTGCCTGCTCGCTGCCCGTGGATTGGAACAGGCCTGGGCATGGGGTCCAGGGGCGTCGGGAAGCAATCCAGCAGCGCGGGCTCGAAACGTTTCTCCCACCTGTCTCAACAGCTGCCCCTCGCTGGAGACTTCCCAAGGCCACCGCTGTCGCCCCGCGGGGCCAAACAAAACCAATGCACTTACTCGGAACTTCTGAGCTGGACTTGCGCTTGC